CCAGTAACAACATGTTGGTTACAGAGTACTACAGGCCTCCATCTGTACTGACAAACACCAGAAACAAAGAGTATGATGGAACATGGTCTAATATAGATGTCAGTGCCACCATGAGCTTCTTCATGCAGCACAGCCAGTAACAACATGTTGGTTACAGAGTACTACAGGCCTCCATCTGTGCTGACAAACGACAGAAACAAAGAGTATGATGGAACATGGTCTAATATAGATGTCAGTGCCACCACGAGCTTCTTCATGCAGCACAGCCAGTAACAACATGTTGGTTACAGAGTACTACAGGCCTCCATCTGTACTGACAAACAACAGAAACAAAGAGTATGATGGAACATGGTCTAATATAGATGTCAGTACCACCATGAGCTTCTTCATGCAGCACAGCCAGTAACAACATGTTGGTTACAGAGTACTAGGGGCCTCCATCTGTACTGACAAACAACAGAAACAAAGAGTATGATGGAACATGGTCTAATATAGATGTCAGTGCCACCACGAGCTTCTTCATGCAGCACGGCCAGTAACAACATGTTGGTTACAGAGTACTAGGGGCCTCCATCTGTACTGACAAACAACAGAAACAAAGAGTACGATGGAACATGGTCTAATAAAGATGTCAGTGCCACCACGAGCTTCTTCATGCAGCACGGCCAGTAACAACATGTTGGTTACAGAGTACTACAGGCCTCCATCTGTACTGACAAACAACAGAAACAAAGAGTATGATGGAACATGGTCTAATATAGATGTCAGTGCCACCACGAGCTTCTTCATGCAGCACGGCCAGTAACAACATGTTGGTTACAGAGTACTACAGGCCTCCATCTGTACTGACAAACAACAGAAACAAAGAGTATGATGGAACATGGTCTAATATAGATGTCAGTGCCACCACGAGCTTCTTCATGCAGCACAGCCAGTAACAACATGTTGGTTACAGAGTACTACAGGCCTCCATCTGTACTGACAAACAACAGAAACAAAGAGTATGATGGAACATGGTCTAATATAGATGTCAGTGCCACCACGAGCTTCTTCATGCAGCACGGCCAGTAACAACATGTTGGTTACAGAGTACTACAGGCCTCCATCTGTACTGACAAACAACAGAAACAAAGAGTATGATGGAACATGGTCTAATATAATGTCAGTGCATCCACAAGCTTCCGTGTCTATGTATGGATAACTTTGCCATCAGCATCTCTTACGTCATGAAATGTTTTAAACGGCTACATGTATCAACTGATTACGGGAATAGAGCGTCACATGTAATAATGTTAAACCATTTCCATCACCTGTACCTCAGCCATCCAGTCAGCTGTAATGTAATGAGGCAGCTAGTGACCATTTATTCTTTGTAATATTCCCCAGGATATTATAAGACGCTGAGTTTTATAACTCCGGGATCTCTGTTTCTGAATTAGTGTTAAATGCACCACGCTGCTGATTAATTAAGCTGACTGACGTCAGACGACTTCTTTAAAGTAGTCCCTCGCGATCTCTATCAAAGAAAAATGCTCACTGGAGCGTCGTGACTGCATCTTTGAAATGTGTAACGTAATTGTAACAATGTCCGAACTAAGTACAGTTTCTGACATCAAGGGGAATCGACTGTATATATATAATTAATAATTAATATTACAGTTTTATTAACAAGTTGCCGCACATGCCTCTTAAATAGGGATGACACGGGATATTGAACCATAATCGCTTTTTTTATTTAATTAAACATAGTGGAGGTTGGAATTGTTAAGGTCGAACAAACACTGGAACTCGAGTTCTGTTTGAAATCGGAAAGATTAAGAGATTGTACAGCACTTGGTATTACAATTTGCCGCAGTTTGTTACAATTTGCCGCACCTGTCTTTCAGTGGGAAAGATAGAAATTGCAACAAAATCGCTTTTTTGATTTCCTTAAACATGCTGGAGGTTGGGATTGGTCATGTTAAGGTCGAACAAACACTTGAACTCGGGTTCTGTTTGAAATCGGAAAGATTAAGAGATTGTATTACAATTTACGGCACTTGGTATTACAATTTGCCGCAGTTTGTTACAAATTCCCGCACCAGCCTCTCACCAGGAATGACCGAAATTGGAATAAATTAGCTTTTTCTTATTTGCTTAAACGTCCTGGAGATTGGAATTGATCACTTTAAGGTCGAACAAACACTGGAACTCGAATTCAGTTTAAAATCGGAAGGATTTAGAGACGTTATTACAATTTACCGCACTTGGTATCATTTGTCTCACCAGTCTTTCAATTGTAATGATAGAAATAAAACCCAATCGCTTTTTTTTTTATTTCCTTAAACATGCTGGAGGCTGGAATTGATCTTTTTAAGGTCTAACAAACACTGGAACTCGAGTTCTGTTTGAAATCGGAAGGATTGAGAGATGATATTACAATTTGCCGCAGTTTGTTACAATTTCCCGCGCTAGCCTTTCACCAGGAATGACATGTACAATGCAAATGTATATTTTGTCATGATTGCGTAAATATCCAGGTGAGCCATACATGCCCTATGGGCCTCTTGTTTACATACCCCCGTCATATAGCTGGAATATTGCTGAGTGCGGCGTTAATTAACAAACAAACAAAGAAACTTGATAGATCTATTATTAGAAATCGGTCCTTTAACTGTGCAGAAATTGTTCCGTTTCATATTGAAACTTCTTAACGAAACTCGCCCGAGTAATGGTGCTTTCCTTCCTTCCGCAACTATGTGAGGTGACGTGCTTGTAACATCGTCATACTATACATTCACCTCTAGCCCACCTAGAATCGGTATCTAATCTCCGGAATAGCTTCTCAGTTTCATGTCAGATCCCTTCAAAGGCAAGTGAGAAAATGTCATCTCGCACAATGTCCCTCCAATCACCGACACATTAGCGCCAGCGTTTAATGTAGCTAGACCAGTCTTCCGTCGCTGAATCAAACTCAGCAATGAAACCTATGCTGGTGGCCATTTTGTTTCTCATGAGATCTCGTTCAGTTTCTAGGCGACACTTTTTCCAACTTAAACTGCTATTTTGCACTCAATTCTAAAAGTTAATAACTTCCTCTTGTACCAATTCGCACAAAAATGTTCCTGTTCCTGAAGATTACGGTATTTCATGTCCAATATGTCCACACATTCACGTTTCAACACGAAGGGAGTCTGTAAGCTGGTGCTGATCTTTGCCTGTTGCTGGATCGATGTACTGCCGCCTGCACTAAGCACCGGAAGCATTCCTATCAGAACACTTCATCCCGAATTCCCCCATAACTTCGAACGCATGTATACCTGATCATTGTAATGTATATATTTTGGGTTCCATAATTCGTGCTACGACACTCTTCCCATAAATATTCTCAAACACCAATGTGTGCAACAATTAGAAGAATGGGTCTCTCAAAATAGGAAAACATTCTACACAGTGTAATATCTGAATTTTGCTCTGTTAACATTTCAAACAAGTACAGGTTTCCGAGGACAGTGTTCGTTTCCAGACCCAATTTATTTCTCTTGATTTCATGTGGAAACATGATTTTGTAAACACTGTTCACCATGGCGGAAGGTACACGTTCGTGTTTGCGTAATTTCCGAAATCTACTGAACGATTCCAGGCTTATCGGCGACGTTTCAGGATTATCATTGGTGATTTGATGCAAAATCAGATACGAGTTATCTCAAATGGGTATCTCACCCACAGCTGTCTCGAAATATAAAACTCAAATGTGGAATGAATGTGATCGGGCACTTCACCACAGCATATCGGGAGGACATTAACATTGAAAATAAAATAAAAATTAATTAAAATTAATTTGCTCTACATTCTTAAAGGACCAACTTATTTTTAAGACTATGATTCGTTCCATACTCAATACAAAAATGCCTTATACACAGGGTGCAAATATGTACTATACATATTGATATTGCTTTAAAACCACTATCTAATAGTATAATATGATCCTATTTCCTTGTACATGTTCTGGGATAAACAATGCTCGGTATCTTTTGTACCGCAAAGGAAGTCAAGTTGCCATCTGCTTCAGTGTTTAATTACAAGTAATGTTCTGTTGAAACACTACGCAATAGCTTCAAAAAGAGAAATCCATATAAACACAGGTAGGCGAATTTCAACATCTACATTTACAAGACGGCTCCAAGCAAGCCCGCCTGAAAAGCAAGGCGTTCTGTGAAGGGTGTGACTCTAACAGCTTACCATAGGCGACAAAGATTGGGGTGTGCCAGGCAACACCAAGGACGGCTGTGCACCAGTGGCTTTACATCACGTTTACAGACGAATCAAGGTTTTGCCTCCGATTCGCAGATGGCAGAAAATGTTTTGGCTACGTAGCGTTGAGCGATTGTGCCAGGGTAACGATTCTTGACCATGATCGGTGTGGGGGCGGTAGAGTTTGTTTGTTTGTTGTTTAACGCCGCACTCAGCAATATTCAAGCTATAGGACGGCATCGAGTACATAATCGAGTCTGGATCAGACAATCCAGTGATTGACATCATGAGCATCGATCCACGCAATTGGCATACGATGACATGCATCAACCAAGTCAGCGAGCCTGACCGCCCGATCCCGTTAGTCGCCTCTTACGACAAGCATAGTCTCCTTTTACGGCAAGCAAAAAGGAGTGTCATGGTATGGGGCGGTATCACACATGATAAGCGAAATGATTTGGTTAACGTGAATGCACATTTGACTGGCCTGCAATATGTTGACCAAATGTTTTGTCCTGTCGTCGTTCCATTCGCTAGAAATATCGGTAGAATTTTTGAACTGCAAGATTCGAATGCCAGACCACATCGTGCCCAAATTGTCACCGATTAGCATACGGACATTGGACTGGTCCGATATGTCCTTGTCAAGTCCCCAATAGACACGCCGTGATATTACTGAAATACTGCTAAAAGGAGTGTTTCACCCAACTCACAGTGACATCAACCAACGTACACATATATTATGTGCTGACCAAATAAATAATACAAATATTGCCTGTATTTATTCTTGCCAAAGACGGTCACACAACAAACACACTAGTCTCTTCCACACACACTCCCCATCAGGTGATGGACCATTAGTTTAACCACCTCCATGTCGGGATGGAGGCCTTGAACTTCGAATGCTAAGGTCATCTGAATAAATTCAAGAAAAATAACCCGGTCCTTGATCAAAGAAAATTCTTCTTTCAAGATTGGATCATACAACATAGCATTCATGTCTCCGAATTTATCTCTTTCAAAACGTCTGAAAGTGCTTGTCCCTTTGACAACCACGATAGCTTTTGGGACCCTGAAAATAAATTCTCTGAAGCTTCTGACGTTCCTGCGAAGATGATCTCTATAAATATCAGGTCCAAAATTTACCAGGTGAGCTAATTGATGAAACACTACAATATCCTTGGAGTTGTTGGGAATCTTATCAAGGTATTGTTTCAAGGGTTTGTTAAATGTTGCATTAGTCCAGCCATTCCCTGTGTTGAAAGGAAATTCATGGGGTCCACAGAAAATAGAACTGTTTGTATCACTCATAAAAGCTACTTGCGGCTCGTATTTCCTGTATGCAACCATTTCCTTCCCAAGGAAACGTGAAATATATTCAAACCATTGCCTGGTTGTGGAATCTCCATACAGCCACAGGCGCCTGTTTGTTAGGCATCCCTTATAGGCTTGTACTGTATGCTGTATCGAGTACCGGCAGAGTTGGGGATGCCAGACTCCCGTGTTGCTTCCATGTGAGCTGTACCCCGAAGAAAAGTCGTCCCTCCATGTTTGTCTAGCTGGTAGTTTCGAACAGCTGATCCGTGTTACCGGACGAAAGTTACCTGAAGATAGATATTGTAATGTTAACAAGTAACTGAGATATATACCCGTGAAGATCCGGGGTAGAATATGTCTTCAGCAACCCATACTTGCCGTAAAAGGCGACTATGCTTGCCGTAAAAGGCGACTAACGGGATCGGGTGGTCAGGCTCGCTGACTTGGTTGATGCATGTCATCATATCCGAATTGCGTGGATCGATGCGCATGACGTCAATCACTGCATTGTCTGGTCCAGATTCGATTATTTACAGACCGCCGTCATATAGCTGGAATATTGCTGAGTGCGGCGTAAAACAACAAACCAACCAACCAACCATATTAACAGATGAGTGCTTTTACCACACTTTTAGCAATATTCCAGCAATATCACGATGGAGGATATTAAGATATGTGACACACTTGAGTGGAAACAAAAATTACATTGAAGAGGTGGGATGGGGTGGGGTGGGGTTCGTGTGGGTGGTGCTGGGTGTTGTTCGGGCCTAAGGCCATTTATAAAGTGGTAGATCACTGAGATAAGACTCTGACTAAAGCATGTGTACCATTTGTTCCAGTGAGCAGAGATAATAATGATACATACCTCGACTTATGGACGCTGAAATTCTCCGGAGAATCTGATGAGGAGGATGTCTTTCAAAGGCAAGAATAACATTTCAGTTTAAGACGTTTGGTCACCTTTACCAAGGAGGTTAAACTATATATATGAAGGGATTAACTTTGTTGTTTCACAATGTCTGATTTATTTATATATTTCAGCGTCGTGACTGTATAATAGGTTCTGTAGGTTTCAGTTTGAATGCTGTCAGAGACCCGTACTCATGCCGGAGAGTCATGATCATAAGTTTACTGACACAGTCATGCTACTTTATATGTTAAAAAGGTTTGTATGAATTACAGTAATCGGAAATCAAATATAAATTGATTAAAAAGCCAGATCATGCCAGACTAACCTTTTTATGAATTGTTTCTCAGCAGGTGTGTGATAATCACCAGCTACAACCGATTGGTGGCTTTTCCGCGACCAACATGGAAGAAGTTTTGTTTTAGGTCTTTCACACAGCCATGGATGTCCGCCATTTTGTGCAGTATAATTACACATGTTCTCTGTTGTCTTGGTTATATTGCATCGAGTTACTTCCCTTAGAGACCCCTTTTCAAAGGAAGCATATGTGAATGTGTACGGAACATTTGATGAACGTAATCTGTCTCTAATGTTAAGAAGTTGTCTTGTCCAGGCAATGGATACCGTAATAACAGGATGTCCTTCCCAGAATGCTCGTAGAACTCCCGTGTAACTTCCGTTTCCGTGATCAATGACGTGACCGGAAGTTCTGTTCCTGCCATTGGTAGATTTCATCCATATCCTGATGTCATCTCCTCCTGTGACAATCATCCTGCCCTCTCTGTCCTTCAGGATGATGGAGACATTTATGACGTCTCCGAGTTGAAACTGGTACCTTCCATTGATGCGTATTTCGGAAAAACGTGGATCAGCAACACGGGTGTAGCTTGACATCTGTACCTGCGATCTATTCTTTGCTTGTGTGAGGATTGCTAGAGTTGATCTACTCCAGTCAGTTTTTGATTCAGTCATTAAGGTATTTGAGGGATTTGACGTACCGTATGACATGGACGTTGGTGCCATATCAATACTGCTGTAAATAACAAAATGAAAATACAAATAGTTATCTAAGGAAGAAATATGGTGACTTGATTATCACAATTTGAATATTAGGTAAACTTGACCTCTGCTATACTGAATGTCGAAACACGGGGGAATGAATGTAGGTCCCCAGCATCCCATGCTTGTACGAGGCGACTCAATGCATCGAGTGGTCTGCCATCGTAACCCAATCGCGTGGATCGATGCTCATGATTGTCAGTCACTGAATTGTTCAGATTCGATTATCAACAGACTTCTGGAATATTGCTGGATGTGGCGTTAAACAGTACACAAAACAAATTATATGAACAAGTTACGGGGATATTCCGTACTACCGGAATGATGCGAAATGAAACGACAAATGTCTTCTTTATATTTCAGTGGATCTAATTGCAACCTGAAGCCTAGTGTTAATGTTACGACATTGTGTCATCTTCACAGCCATATGTCTCAGTTCACCAACAGGAGCGTCACCAAGACTACAAAGACTGACTCACATTCTCGGCCATGCGTCTCACCTGCTGTATAGACGACAGCGGACTAACAGGAGCGTCACACAGACTACAGAGACTGACTTACATTCTCGGCCATGTGTCTCACCTGTTGTATAGAGGACAGCTGACTAACAGGAGCGTCACACAGACTACAGACATTGACTCACATTCACGGCCCTGTGTCTCACCTGTTGTATAGACGAAAGCGGACTATCAGGAGCATCACACAGACTACATACATTGACTCACATTCACAGTCATGTGTCTCACCTGTTGTATAGACGAAAGCGGACTATCAGGAGCGTCACACAGACTACATACATTGACTCACATTCACAGTCATGTGTCTCACCTGTTGTATAGACGAAAGCGGACTATCAGGAGCATCACACAGACTACAGACATTGACTCACATTCACGGCCATGTGTCTCACCTGTTGTATAGACGACAGCGGACTAACAGGAGCGTCACACAGACTACAGACATTGACTCACAATCACGGCCATGTGTCTCACCTGTTGTATAGACGACAGCGGACTAACAGGAGCATCACACAGACTACAGACATTGACTTACATTCACGGCCATGCGTATCACCTGTTGTATAGACGACAGCAGACTAACAGGAGCGTCACACAGACTACAGACATTGACTTACATTCACGGCCATGTGTCTCACCTGTTGTATAGACGACAGCAGACTAACAGGAGCGTCACACAGACTACAGACATTGACTTACATTCACGGCCATGCGTCTCACCTGTTGTATAGACGACAGCAGACTAACAGGAGCGTCACACAGACCATAAAGACTGACTTACATTCACGGCCATGCGTCTGTTGTATAGACGACAGCGGACTAACAGGAGCGTCACACAGACTACAGACATTGACTCACATGCACGGCCATGCGTCTCACCTGTTGTATAGACGACAGCGGACTAACAGGAGCGTCACACAGACTACAGACATTGACTTACATTCACGGCCATGCGTCTCACCTGTTGTATAGACGACAGCGGACTAACAGGAGCGTCACACAGACTACAGACATTGACTCACATGCACGGCCATGCGTCTCACCTGTTGTATAGACGACAGCAGACTAACAGGAGCGTCACTCAGACTACAGACATTGACTTACATTCACGTCCATGCGTCTCACCTGTTGTTTAGATAATAGCGGACTAACAGGAGCGTCACACAGAATACAAAGACTGACTCACATTCACGGCCATGCGTCTCACCTGTTGTGTAGATAATAGCGGACCAACAGGAATGTCACACAGGTCATCATCAACGCTACACATTTGCGCCTTGAGTTGATGCAATTTCCCCGCATCGTGGCACAACACATCTGCTGTTGCTTGTCCTGGGGATTCAAAGCTCAGTGGGAGTATCAGTAAATACTCTCCTCAGGTGCTCCAGCTTGGATCTAGGAACCAATGAGGGATAATTACACAAAGAAGATGGTTTGATGGGCCACTTAGATTCAGTAAATGTAAATTAGGTAATAGTTGGAGTGAGATATAATGTGTTTGTTTTCCCAACATGTAGGTGTACTTTTCATTCTATTCGCACAATTTCCACCAGTATTTCGGAATTATCTGTTTCAGAAGATATTTGAGACTGATTCCCCTCTGGCGTTGACGTTTTCTGTTAAAATATCTGTGAATAATCGAGTCTGGACCAAACAATCCAGTGATTGATATCATGGCAAACGATCCACGCAATTGGGATCGATGACATGCATCAACCAAGTCAACGAGCCTGACCACCCGATCCTGTTAGTCGAATCTTACAACTTAGAATGCCCTCTCCCTGGTATTTACAAAAAAATCACAATTTCAAATTCAATATATATGCATACAGCACTATAGAGAGAGAGAGAGAGAGAGAGAGAGAGAGAGAGAGAGAGAGAGAGAGAGAGAGATACATTGTTGAATGAACAGCTCTTTACACAAATCGTTTAGTTGTACATATATCATGTTGTACTGCCTTAAATATAGCTTCATTTTCTGTAACAACGTGATCTGCATTGCAGTATAACAGTAAGTGTACATGAACAGGTATGTTATGAAGAATATTTTAAAGGCTGTTTAACATAATTTCACGCTGATGACTAAACAATGTACATTCAGTGATATGCATGTTCACATGTGTTTGAACATGTACAGTTCGGGTGATCTTTTATACCAATTCTATATAAATCATAATTCAATTGACTGCACATGTATCTCAGTTTTGCGTGTAAGATATTATATTTTCTTTTGCCATATGCGAAGTACGCAGGTGACGTGGGGTGGTGCTTTTGTAACGAATTTTTTAAAACAAGAAATCGTAGAATTTCGATCTGATAACGGAATAGAGTTCCACAATCGGATAGACGATGGGTAAAAGTATTCACACGAATGTCTTAGTCTTGTGAGAGCAACACTGATGTTTTCAGAGTTTCTGAGACTGTATGAGTTTTTTGCAGCAACGGGTTTGGGTAGAATATATGTTAGATAGGAAGGGACCCTGTTATGATTAATTTGGAAGAAAAGACAAAGTTTACGTTTCTTTCTACGCTCAACTAAGGGTTCCCAACCGGTTTCGTAATATAATGAATGCCTGGGGGCATACTTAGGTAGACCAGTTACAATGCGTGCAGCTTCTAATTGTAATTGTTCTAATTTCTCACTTTGTCCTTCGGTGAAACCATCCCAAACCTCACATGCATATTCAAAGTGCTGCTTATGAACATTTTATATAAAAATTATATTGTTAATAGTATTTCTGTGGAGTAGATTTTTGAGTTTTCTCATTGAGTAAATCATCTTGGAAGTTGTTTTAATTATAGTACCTATATGACAAGACCATTTGCCATTGGCTTCAAGTATAACACCCAAGTGCTTATGACTGTTTACAGAGCTGATTTCTTTTCCGTTGACATATAGTTTTAGACCTCCATTGTTGTTTTTGCGAGAGAACAGAACCGATTGAGTCTTTTCGGGATTGTAAGTTATCAGCCAAAGTTTCGCCCATTCACTCAAGATTGCTAAATTTGTGCTTAAGGAACGTTCAAGTACACTGTTATCATTGGATAACATGCCAATCGATGTATCGTCGGCAAACAGTATTGTCATACAGTCTAGTTTATAAGCAAAGTCATTTACGTAGACAATAAAGAGTAAAAGACCAAGCACGGACCCCTGTGGCACGCCAGCCTTCATGTATCTTGGTTTGGATATTTCCCCATTCACAAATACGCTTTGGCTACGATTGCTTATGTAACTGGTAATCCATTTTAACAATTGGCCATTTATACCATACCTTTCTAATTTATACACAAGCCAACTGTGCCATACACGGCCAAAGGTTTTTGATACATCACAGAATACAATACAATAGCTTTCTTTGTTATCTAACGCTGTACAAATTTGATGATAAAGTTATATTAGTTGATGGACAGTTGAGTGACCACCCTGAAACCCAGATTGGTACTTGTACAACAATTTGTTCTCATGAAAGTAATTATATAAATGTTTGAACACAACTCTCTCAAACAATTTTCCTAAACAGCTAATGAGTGATATCGGTCTATAATTAGAAACGATAGTGTGATCACTTTTCTTAAATAATGGCAGAACGTTTGCTTTTTTCCACACTGATGGAAATATACTTGATTAAATATTGTAGTGACATACTGAACAGTAAACACAATGCTTCGCTAATAGAATATACAGTTTTCTTTATTAATTTATGACAAATTGTGTCTAGTCTGGAGGCTTTGTTCAGAGGCAAACATCGTATTATGTCTTCAATCTCTTTTTTAGATATGACTATGTTGTTCATCTCTGTCTCTGTACGAAATGTGAAGTCGGGCATAGTTGTTCTTGTTTCATAGACATCAGATATAGATTGAAAATATTTATTCAGTTTCTCTGCCTTTTCAATATCAGTAAAAATTGTCGGGTGTTCGTCCGTATCATACTTTTTAAGAGCGGCTATGTTGTTAGCTGAGCCAGAGTTCTTCACAACATAACGTAAAACTTTCCAGTAAGAGGGTTCGTTTCCTGCATGCAATTCTGATAGTAAATAGTAAAAATGTTCTTTAGCGTGGATGTGATTTGTACCGTCCTGAGAAAAACGCAGCGATTTATCTGGCGAACGACTTCCCGGCGTCAATGAAATATCACGCGCAAATGCTTATTAAGATACTGCAAACACCACGACAAGTAGCTAATATAAAGTAAAGCCCTACCTCAGTCACCAAAGTGCAATCTCATAAGGCGGTGAGTCGAGGTCCGACGTGTTGATATGTTCGACCGGTTCTGAGCTTGGCATGCATGACCGGCTCTGTTGAAAAACATTCTTTTCACACACTGAAACGTACTCAACTCCGGATCTAGGTAACGCCTACTAAGCCTCGTACTTTTTAAGAGCGGCTATGTTGTTAGCTGAGCCGGAGTTCTTCACAACATAACGTAAAACTTTCCAGTAAGAGGGTTCGTTTCCTGCATGCAATTCTGATAGTAAATAGTAAAAATGTTCTTTAGCGTGACATTTCATATTATTTACTTTGTTCCTCTGATTTTTATAGGCCCGAATGTCGTTTTCCTTATTACTTTTTTAGCCTTCTTTTTTAATCTATCTCTTTTCCTGGATTCTCGTCTTAAACTGAAATCATACCAAGGTTTGTCCTTTGGACGAATGGTTACTATTTTGGTTGGAATGCGCATTTTAACATATTTATTCAAATATTAATAGAACAGATTGCATGCTTCATCAACATTTGAATTTTGACTTAATAATTCATTCCAGCAAGTATTTTCCATGAGCGAATTCAGTTTATCATAGTCACCGTTTTTAAAACATGAATTTTCTCTTTGATATGCTTATTTTGTTCGCAAATTAGTGTCTATTTCAATGTAAGTTCCCCTATGGTCGCTAATTTTACTATGAAATTCAATTACACCACTGTCGATGACTTTTATATCTTCACTGATAATAATAGGATCCAATAAACAACTGGTAGGCTCGGTTATGATATTGTGTAGATTTTTCCTATTTAGTCATTCATTTACGTTTAAGCTCCTAGACAATAACATATTTTCATTTATGTCACCAACAATAGTAATCTTGCACGAAATATCCAGGGCATTTTCAATGCTTTCCAGTGATTGATATCATGAGCATCGATCAACGCAATTTGGATTTTCAATCATGAATGTCTGACATTGATGAATCGTCAGGCATTTAAAACTAAGTCGAAACTGTAACCATACTATGGAATTTTACCAAGAAATAGATGGATACATTTACTACTTTTCTGCACGTGCAGCCATCGCCTCCCTATTTAGGTTGAATGATGGAACTGCACCCCACCCGCAGAAAGAAAATGCAATTTATTTCACCTTGATGACCCAGGGAATAAATATCTTGCTGTCTCACATTGTACCCAGTTCAATAACCACATGTAATTGTACATATCACGGCATTATCGCACCAAGCCAAACATTTATTAATAAAGTAATCTGTATAATAGTAAAGAAGCCAGCGTTTTATAAGCTGAGTGTTTTCAATTATAATGAATACCTCTAAATCATCTATTAAAACATCAACTCTGTAAAAACCTCAGTCACGCACGCACGCACGCACGCCCACACGCACGCCAGACTGCTCATGTGTCAGCCATGACTCGTGCTTGAATACTCAGACAGTAGCCACAGGCTACGGGTTGTGTGTATGTGTTGTTTTGCTTTTTGTTTAACGCCGCACTCAGCAATATTCCAGCTATATGAAGGCGGTCTGTAAATAATCGAGTCTGGACCAGACAATCCAGTGAGTGACATCATGAGCATCTATCTACGCAATCGGGATACGAAAACATGCATTAACCAAGTCAGCGAGCCTGACACTATTACAGCAGAACATATAATAGATGAATCGTGACGACTGAGTACAATATACGATATAAACTACCCACATTGAGTCTTTGAAACGCATTTTGAAGTGATACACAAAATGAAGAGATTTTCTGGATGCCAACATCTTTATTATGAGGAACACAACACAAGCTGACATCCATACATTCTCGTCCTTACCGACTTTGACATCAATACACGGGGTATCTATATAGTATGAATGTAATACACAGTCGACGTTTATGATTCGTATGGGCTGGAACGACTCCCCGGCGTCAATGAAATATCACGCGCAAATGCTTAATATTAAGATACTGCAAACACCACGACAAGTAGCCAATGTAAAGTAAAGCCCTACCTCAGTCACAAAAGTCCAATCTCATGAGGCGGTGTGTCGAGGTCCGACGTGTTGATATGTTCGACCGGTTCTGAGCTTGGCATTCACAAACCGACTCTATTGAAAAACATTCTTTCACTCACTGAAACGTACTCAACTCCGGATCTAGGTAACGCCTACTATGCCTCGTACGCACGAGCAGAAGAGGGTTGATGACGCCGTGTTTAAGTTCACTATGACCGACGTCACGGTAGGGTAACCACACCACAAACACGGGGCCGCTTCAAGGATAGGAGTGAAAATGTAAATATGTATATAGTATATAAGGGTCAGGCGTGGTCAATGTCACGCTATTTTAATTTGGTTTGACGGTATGTATGGGATGTGTGCTGGAGAAAGGTCTGACAAGAGTGGTTGAACTGTCAGTGATTATGAGAGTAAAGTTATGAAGGCTGGTTGAAGTCAGTGGACAGACCTGCCTTCAATAGGCCGAGGCGCTTTCTGAGCGCTTGCTTGGCGCTCTCCGCGCACGTTCGGGTGCAATCAAACGATGTGTCAACTGCCGCCGGCATTTTTTAAAATGGCGTTGCAGACTGATTTTTAGCAATATTGTTGAACATTGTGTATGTAAAGTATTATTGTTTAGAATAAAGATACAATTAACTTACCGTTAGTTAGACGGTCACCGATCAGACAACAAAACTCTATTTTATTGCATTATCGTGATATACGTCGGACCAAACTCATGTAATCCTACCGACTTATGTGACTTTAGAAAATCAAAATATAGACTGTGATTGTGTTGATTCGCCGCTGATTGCTGAATACAGCAAATTGTCAGTGACACTTGACACTGAGTGAGATTTCTCAGTTCGCCGCACAAGTCACTAATTAGTGGAAGATGGGCTTGTCGGTGATCAGATATCAGTTCGTTGTATCCGTTTGTTCGCTGTATCCGTGTTCGTTATAACCGGGTCATACTGTATTTACAAACGTACTTGGGTAAATGAAAGGAAGTCGATCCCTAACTTCAAACTTATGTAAAGTAATGGAATCAATGGCTAAAAATAGATTACAACATTACTTAACCCAAAATAACATCATAAACCCAGATCAAAGCGGTTTCACTCCTGGCCGCTCAACCCTAGATAACCTCGCCCGACTAGAACAAGATATTAAGACAGGACAACTAAATAAACAATATACCACAGGCATCTTCTTAGACTTCTCTAAAGCTTTCGACATGGTATGGCACGATGGGCTAATACAAAAACTTAAAAAAATAGGACTCAAAGGTCAGATAATAAACTACATCCAGGACTTCCTAAACAATCGTAAAATAACCGTGGGTATAGACCAAACTCTATCGGACCAATGTCCCCTAGAAAATGGTACTCCACAGGGCAGTATCCTCAGCCCCACCCTCTTCAATATAATGATAAACGATCTATTCGAGGGCCTATCCCCTAAAGTAAACACATCAAAATTCGCGGATGATGGAGCCATCTGGATCCGCACTAAAAGCATGAACATGGTCCAAAATTTACTCCAAAAATCTCTTAATAAAATACAACAATGGGCTGACAAATGGGGCTTCTCCCTTAACTCAGAAAAAACAACAGGAATAGTATTCAAACATAAAAACATGAAACCCGCCTCCCCAATCCTCCAGCTAAACAATCAAACAATCAAATTTCAAAAACAAACCAAATTCTTAGGACTTATTTTCGATGAACATCTCACCTGGGGTGCTCACATCCAAAACCTAACAACTAAATGCAGTAAAGACCTAAACACCCTAAGATGCCTAACTGGCTCTAACTGGGGAGCATCCAAAGATACCCTCCTCTCTCTCTACATATCACTAATTAGATCAAAACTAGACTACGGCTGCGCCATATACAACACCCTAAACAACTCTCTATCTAAAAAACTTGACTCAATACAATATCAGGCTCTCAAACTAATTACACGCACCCAACATGGCACCTCCTACACCTCACTTCAGGCCTTAACAGGAGAAATGCCACCAAGTCTACGCAGGGAACAGCTAAGCTTAAATTTCTTAAATTTTCCCAATCAAACCCTCTCATCCAAAACTTAATAAACCAAAACATCAGCCCCAAAAACCAAGCTCTAGCTCGTAAACACCCCTTACTTACCCCAATATCCCAAAGAATAACAAACTACCTAAATGAACACCAAATTAAAAATCTTAAACAAAACTGCAAACAATCAAATATCTTCACCCCTAAACTTAAAATACCCAAAATAGACACAACACTAGCTAGCCAAATAAATAAACAAACCGACCCAAACATAGCTAAAACTACCACATTAGCATACATACACGAAAATTGGCCAAATTGGTGTCACATTTACACGGACGGATCCTCAGATCCGACCTCCAAACACACAGGTTTCGGTGTCCATACCACACAACCAACTAAAACCACACAATCCTTCCGACTCCCAAACAACCAATCAATATTCACGGCAGAACTAATGGGCATGGCCTCAGCCCTCCATAATCAAGAATCCAAAAAACAAAAACAAATCCTAATACTTACCGACTCCCTAAGTGGACTGCAAGCCCTCCAAAACAAAAATACCAAAAACCGACCTAAATTAATAAATCAAATACTTAAAAGCTCCAACGACCTAACTAAGGCAGGCAAACAAATAACCTTCTTGTGGATACCCGCCCACGTAGGAATATACGGCAATGAAAACGCAGATAAAGCAGCTAAACTATCCCTCAAAATCCCAGAAATAAGCTTAAACTTACCCATCTCAAAATCAGAAATTAAAAGTGTAAACAAGCAAAAAATCACAAAAAATGGCATAACCTATATCTAAACTCAAATAGCCAAATCAAAAAAGTGCTCAGCAAACCACTTACCAAACCAAAAATTCTCCATCCTTCCAAAAAAATCGACAGAGTAATCACTAAACTCCAAACAGGACACACCAACCTAAATAACCACCTAAATATTTTTTAAAAACATACTACAGGTAACTGCCCACACTGCAAACAACCAGAAACCCCAGAACACGCACGCATCCACTGCACACACTACCTAACACATCGAACCGCATTACAAACCCCCCTCAATCTAAACAAGGCTCTAACTCTAGAAGCAATGCTAAACCCACAAAATAAACTAGAAAACTTCAAGGCCTTAGGCGTATTCTTAATAAAAACGGAACTAATAAAACGCATCTAAAAACACAATAACCTACCAAATCAAAATCACATAAACAAACAAACATCCACCATACCCAGCTCCCTTAGTTCTCCTCCCCAATCCCATCGGCATCTATTCCAAATCTCAAAATTCCCAAATTCTATATAAGCAACCCCTAAAACCCCCCTCTTGGGTTGCACAGACCACTTTCGCCCCTTTCGGAAACACATTAAATGGCCTGGCCGGGCCCGTGTGCGAAATACGCATCAGTCGGAAAGCGCACGTTAAATCTCCAAAGTAAGTAAGTAAGTAAGTAAGTAAGTGAAAGGAAGTCGAAATGGAACGTCAGGTGAATAAGGACTTCTGGCTCTGCATGTTTATCTCATATCTTATCCACAAGTTAACTGTCCATCGAATTCATCAGCTCGAAAATGTACCAAGTATTTTTGAAATCCTCAAACCCAATATCCCTATGGTTCTCTATTTGATTTCGGTAATTCCCCTCTAAAATCATACAGAAAATTCGCTATAAAATATTTTTAAAAATCCGAATGTGTATTTGACATTCATCTCGTCTTAATATATAGACTCTTGAAATGGATCGGACGTAATTTATTAACTATTCCAAACAATTAATAAATAATATATCCACGAAGTAGTGTCTGTATGGGTCTATGGGTGGGTAATAAGATAATGAATCACCAGATTTGCCGACGTCGGGGAGAAATTCAAATTAGACCTATAAGAAAACCTGTATTGAAGGTATCAGCCTTATAATCAAATATGTGGATTTAAGAACCCAAATATAATCTTATTTCTTAAAACTGCATTCCAGGTATTTTATTTACCAGTTACTTAAAAAAAACATAATGGTTTTACGTTTACATTCATATATATTTAATTTCAGTATATAATGGACAGTTATTAAGGGGAATAAATTAAATACATCGGGTAAGACATGTCACTCGAAACGGCAAGAAAAACTTCTCATAAATCACATAAAAATAATTAATTACCTATAGGGTTAGAAATAATCGAGTTACCAAATCGTATGTGCACTGGTGCAATATCGTTCACTCGCACTAGTAATATTGTATGTCATCCGGGCGGCATTGTTATCGTCTTTCAAATTTTATTCTGACACTAGAAATGACGTCATAGCTGAAGACTGTTGACGTCATTTGACAATTGTGGGTTTCTAAGACGGCGAACGTGATCAGTGCATTTCTCTAAAGAAAAGCTCAAATGTATTAAGAAATGATAGGTAACAAAGTAGTTATTACACTCGCATGTTTGTCATACTGTTTTACGAAACTCGTCTAAGACAAAATATACTACCCTCGCTCTCGTTCGGGAAAAACAATATTTTCTTGGGTGTGTTTTTCAGTCAACACTTGGGGATTCCTGGTTATGATCATTGACCAAAAGTAATTTATGATGCATGTTGTAAGATTCAACTAAATGGATCGGTGACTTGGTTGATTGTGTTTCATTGTACCCCGACTTACCACTCGCCCCTTTCCGTAACCAGCTTGTCCCGGAATAACACGAGTTGGTCACGAATGCCCCGACGGCATGGGACGTTGTCCTAATCAACCATTGATTAAGTTGTCAGGGACAAAATAGATAATTTACAGGTCGCCCCGATATTGCTAGAATATTGTAGACTGAAGTAAAAAATAACAAATCGCAATATTTTAGATTTATTTAAGAGAAGAAAGACACCTTTGAAAACATCTGAATTTACGTTTTCTTTGAGTTTCGACAAATGAAGGTTTATATCGCATAATGATATATCAAATGTTTACAAAAAGAAATCATATGAGTGTTATTGGGACAGAAATGCAACTTCATACCAAAATTTATTATACATGTGTCTTGTTCACAAACAGACGCATGAAAAGATTTTTTTCTGTTCTGAAATTAACATGGGTTGCAAGGACAAATACTTGATATCATGAGCATCGATCAACGCAATTAGGATCAAAGGCATGCATCAACCAAGTCAGCGAGCCTGACCAACCTCAGCGACCCATGCTTGCGGTAAAAGGCGACGATGCTTGTCGAA